CAAGTGGTCTTGAAGGGGTGTAGGGACTTTTTGTCACCGTTTTGGCATCTGTCATCCCATCTCTTATGGAACACGCTTGTGAATTCCAGCTCTAACCACCATGACCACCATTGCTTGTTTATTTAAGGCAGGGTCTTGCTACAAAAACAAGGCTGGTTTCAAACTCACCGTCCTCCTGCCTCAGCCTCCCAAGAGGTAGCATTACAGGTGTGGTCTGTCTTTCTGGGTTACGATCCCCCCTCCCTCCGATTTTATGGATGAAGGAGTTAAGGCCCACAGGAAACTGGCAGCTTGCCCAGGACCGAGGAGTTGGTAGGAGAGTGTGTGGGTGATTCCTTGTGTACCTCAGTCCTGTTACCCACAGGGAAAGCTCAGCTCTGCAGGGAGGAGCCCTCAGGTCACCTAGCATCGGGAGTAAGAAATGGGGATGTTAGTCAGCTCTATCTGATCTCCATCCAGGTAGGGCAGGCCTGGGGTCTAAGACTGAGTGAAGCCTGGGTAGGTAGGGCTGGAGCCAGATCTGTGGTGTGTGTGTGTGTGTGTGTGTGTGTGTGTGTGTGTGTGTGTGTGTGTATGTGTGGGTCTATGTGTGTATGTGTGTGTGTGTGTGTGTGGTGTGTACTCCACTCCACTGTGCACACGCAGGCTGTGGAATTGGGTGTGAGTTAGTTTTCTCAGAACCCCTTTTGTTCCGGGGTCACGAGCCTAAGTAATTCCTGGGCTGATCAGGACCTGGTTCCAGGCATCCGGGAAGGGCAGGTCAGGCCAGGTCCCAGCTGCAAAAGTTAAAGCCAAGCTCAGAAGCAGAAGCCATGGGAGGGAAACAGCCTCCTGTTCCAGAATCTGTCGCCTGAGGAGCTTCTCTGGCATAGTCACAGTGGGAGTCATTCTGGAGGGAGCTGGTCCTACGCAAGATGGTGACACTCCCTTTGTCTATGTCACATCGGTCACCATCTTGGATACTGGCGCGTGTGCCGTCTTCCCTTGGATAGTGGTTGGTTCTTATACTCACACAGAGAAACAACTCCAGCCAGGAAGCCAGGCCTGGGGGCAGCTCGCCTGTTGGGGGCCAGGCTAGGGGCATGTTTGGCTACTCGAACCCATGCCACGCAGACACAGCTCTCAATATGGGAAATGAATAGGTCTCCCGCTGCAGGCCCTGGGCCACCCAGCCCTGCACCGGGAGCCAGTCACCCCGACCGTGTTTGCGCTTCCCATCTTGTATGTTTTTGCTGAGCGCTGCGGCCCACAGACAACACTAGCTCCCTGTCAGCTCACAAAGGGCCTCCTCATCCTTTTCCCTCTTTCAGCAAAGCCCACCCTTGTGCCAGGATCGGCCTGGCCAGCCAAAGGGGCCAACCTCGCAGCAAGGAGGAACTGCTTCTGCTGGGTTTGGCCGTTATATTAAGGACTTAGCTGTTTAGGACACACCCTTTTGGGGCCCTCTCCCCATATTGGCTCCCACAACTGTTTGCACCCGTCTGGGGTGTCAGCCACAGGACTTGCGCCCCTATTCCCAGGGTGCTCTACTGGACAGCGCCCTCTTGTGGCAGATGTCAGAAAGCCCAAAGCGGCAGATGCTCTGGAGGGGCTGACTCTAGCACAAGACCAGGGACCAGAGCGCCCTCTACTGTCCAGTACCCTGCCCTGTCCAGGCTCAGCCCTGCAGGGTTGCAGCATGACCCCGCGAGGCCACAGGGGACAGCGCTGTTCCCAGGGGAGGGCTTTGTGGGAGGGAGGGGGTTGAGGATCCTGCTGGCGGTTGGTTTAGAGTGTTAAAGCTGGGTGGGTGGGGGCTTTGGCAAGCTCGGGAGGCTGGGCCTGTGCCTGTCCAGTCCAGAGTTTGACAGGCTGCTTGCAGCCAAGAGACAGCTTCTAGAAGCTTCTTGGAAAAACAGGTATCGTGCCTTGGCACAGGTGAGACAGGTCTGGGGAGGAGAGATGAGAGAGGAGCCTAGTGGGATGGTCCCAGAGAGCCAACCTCCCTGGCTCTCGTGAGTCCCGGCTGGATCCTGGAGGATACAGGCAGATTCCCGCAGGTCGTTTAGGGGGGCTCTGGACTAGGTGTGTCCAATCTGTGACCCAGGATCATAAACATAACCAAGACATGAGAGTTGTTGTGAATTTTTTCCCGTGACTTAATTTCGTGTGAACCTGTTGTATTGGGATGTTAAAAGGTTGGTCTAGACCCTCCTCTGCTGGAAGGGTGAGTGGGAAGGGGGCACTTCTCCAGGCCTGGCTCTGGAGTGCACACACCTAAGGATGGGGACGCACTGTGTGCGGCCTCCTGTTCTGAGACTCCATCCAGAGGCAGTGGAGGGCAGTGTGCAGGGCGACATCCCTTCCCCAGTGGCAAGTTGTCAAGCCCCATGTGCCTGGAATTCCCTGCTCCACTTTGTGCTGGCCGTGGCCATCTCTCAGCCTCTCTCCCCTCACACCCCCACCCCAGAGGTCTAGGGTCAGGGACCCTAGGTGCTGCCCTCACCTGCTTCTGCCTGAGGCCATCCTCTTTCTGCCATGGGCTGGGTGAGCACTGCCACTTCTTGTGCCCTCTGTTACAAGTGCCAGAGCTAGGACCACTTTTCTTTCTCTTCGTTTGTGGCTCTGAGGATGAGCCTAGGACCCTCTGCATTCGGCAAGGGGCTCTACCCTAGAGACACAGCCCCGTCTGGACTGTCCGCGTTCACTGTGTGTCCCTGAGCCCCAGCCCCACCAGCCTGGTGTTGAGTGGGCTCCTGTTTTGTGTTTCTAGAGGAACTGAATGACTTTCCTCCGCTCTGGCCAAGAGTTGTTGTAATGAAATTCTTCCTGCCAGCCTGGTCCATGAGCTGCATCAGTCCCAAATGAACACGCAGGATGCTATATTAATTATGAAGCTATTGGTCGTTTGCTATGGTTTCTTAATGGCTAGCTCTGACTTAATTATTAACCCATAATTACTAATATATATGTCTTTTTATAAGGTCTTATCTTACTGAGAACGCCAGACTTGTGCCCCCCGGGATCACATGATGACTGTCTACTCTTGACTACATTTCCCAGAATCCTCCTTGACTCATAGTCCCACCTATCTTGCTTCCCTATTGGCTAACAGTGCTTTATTTATCAACAAATAGGACAACATATATACAGAAGGACTTTTCCCATCATCTCTTCTTTTCTGTCTAAATAAAAATAAAGGTTTTAACTTTAACATAGTAAAATATATAACAAGGCAGTTATTAAGCAAGAACTATAGAAACAATATTAGTTCATTAACATTTAGCAAGATTTAAAAGAAGTATTTTTTCATTTATCCTATCTGTGTGAGTCTAAAGTCTTATATGTGGCTTATCTTTTATCATAACTAAGGAACACTATAACTATAACTGTCTTCAACTCCATCAAAGACCACAGAAGGATAATATATAAATACTAGAGTTGACAGAGACATCTCGCTAACTGGACAGTCATCCGAAGTTCCTCTGTAACGTTGGGGCATCCATCTTCAGCACATAGGCCACAGTGTGTTTTGTAGACTTCTCAGCAAAGCAGGAAATTTTAAACTGTCCATCTGCATTGGCAGTTTGTCAGTCATTTTTTTGTGTCCGTCGAATGTCTGACAGACTCTTCCATGAAGCAGGAACCCTGTAGGACTGTCCATCTTTCTTTCTAAGTTCAGCAGTCACTTTCCTGTGGGTTCTGCATGTCCAGTTTATACAGCAACAGTCAAACAGTCCAGGCAAGAGCAGTTTCTTGCCCAAGTGCTAGTCTTGCCATGTTGAATGCAAACTCCATAACGAGATTCTTCGATGCCCATCTTCCTCTCAGACATAATTGGTATGCCAGGGGTAGTGGTGTCTCACTATCATGAAAATCCCTAAATCATTTAAATGCCATATATTCTGTAGGTCTTTGAAAGGCTTGAAGAAAATCTATCCATCTCAAATACATCTCTGTATATCTAGAAACCCTAACTAACCTAACTATAAGTTTTGACTGTTATAGGTAACTATCTATAATCTATATTTAAGTATACATTACATTTTTAAATGATTTATACAAACACAATACCTAAACAAGAGGACAAATATACATATCACAAAACTGACCTTGAATTTGTATCAGTAAATGAAAATCCATACCAATACAAAGTATTCATTTCTATATCTTATTCCCCTTTTTCCCCTTTAGAAAGAGATTGACTGTGATCATCACTATTTATAAGCAACCCCATTTAAATGAAAACAAAAAAATTTATAAACAGTAGTTGGGAATTTGGGCATTGTTCATTCCAAACAGCTTCCTGCTGGTTGGGGCTGCTGTCCATATCATGGGGTCCATGACAAAACACAGAAATCTGGCCAGGTCCTTGTTTTTGTGGTCTGCGCGGCTGCATCATCTCAGCTGTTTTAGATTCTGGATCACCTGGGACACCGTTTCAGGGGGTCTTGTTTCATCAAACCACACTAGTATGGAAGGAATCCATAGCTTTACATTTTCTGTGGAAACACAAGGAGAAATTCTTTTCCCAAGTAACCTGTCCTTGTATTTAAATTTAGAAGTCAAAGTATTTTCAAAATGTATAAGTTGGATTAGTTCGGTAGCATTTCTTTTAGCAGCTGTTGCTACCAAGAAGCCGTGCTTGTCTCTGTTCTTCTGTTTCTAAAATCCCTTTTAAGTTTTTACCATTCTACAAAGAAATTCATGCTGCACATTGTGTGCCATATGTAACGAGATCCTTCCCGCCAGCCCGGTGCCTGAGCCGCGTCATCCCAAATGAACACACAAAACGCTATATTAATTATGAAGCTGTCGGCTGTTTGCTATGGTTTCTTAATGGCTAGCTCTGACTTAATTATCAACCCATAATTACTAATACGCATTTTTATAAGGTCTTATCTTACCGAGAACGCCAGACTTGAGCCCTCTCCTCCCAGGATCACATGGCGACTCTCTACTCTTGACTACATTTCCCAGAATCCTCCTCGACCCCTGGTCCCACCTCTCTTGCTTCTCTATTGGCCAACAGTGCTTTATTTATCAACAAATAGGACAGCATCTACACAGAAGGACTTCCCCCATCAGGTTGTGACTGCACAGGACGGAGAAACAGGGTGGTCTTGTCACTTCTCATTCTGGGATGTCCTCAGACTGAGGCTGGCTCCTGGGGCACTCTGGGACCAGCTCCCCTTGTAGTTCTCCTGAAACCAGTTTAGTGTGAGGTTTGGAGTCCTCTCCACTGGAGCTCTGAATGGTGGCAGGAAGGAGTGGGTAACATCTAGAGGGAGGGCAGTAGGGTTGTTGGTGGGGGGATATGATGACCTGTCTGCTTTGCAGAGATGTCCTCCAAGCCTGTGCTGGAAGGGACCCCAAGAGCGTGCGGTTCTCTGGCTGCCAGGCTGGTTGGAGTCACCAGCGTGGTGGAATCATCCAGAAGCTGCATTCTGGCTGCTGGGCTGGAGGTGGGAGTGGGCGAAGTGGGGGAGGGGAAGGTCAGGGAGCTGAAGGGGTCCTGCAGGGGAAGGGACTCTGGCTGAGAAGCAGGAAGCGGGAGAGTCTTGGCTTCATTCTTTCAGCCTCCTCTGCCTTCTGAACTTGACCGAGTGGGGCATTATGTGACCTTGGCCAGAACCATTAGGATCCCCATCAATGCCATCACCAAGCGGCGTTGACCGCCAAGTGGGAGAGCGGACCCTAGGAAAGGCAGAAGGTTCAGTGAGAGAGGGAGAGGACTGTAACTCGACTCCACAGGCTCATGGAGGACCAGGGGTCCCAGCTGTCCCCACGAGTCCCCAGGCTTCTCTCTCAACACCCCCTTGGGCTGTGCACGGTGGCCTGGTTGCAGGCTTGCAAGCTCACAGATGTGTACATACCAGCCTGGGCCCCAGAGGAGGAGCGCCGCTGCCTCACCTGATAGGAGCATGGGTTGCAGGGTGCCAGGGTGCCCATCGTTGGGCTCGGGCACAATGCCCAGCAGGTGGCACATGAGCTCGTACACATGGACGCTCTCAAAGGGCTCCACCTCTAGGCCTGCCTTGAAGCTGGGACCCACCGCCCGGAAGATGGTCTTCATGTCCATGTCTTGGTTGTCGAAACCATGTTCACCTTTGTTGAACTGGACACTCACTCTCTGCAGGGAGGGGCAGGGGTTCTGGGTCATTAATTGGGACCACACTGTCCCCCCTGGTACCTCCTTCCCAGTCTTTCCCTGCTCCCCCATGGATTGGCACCTGTGTGGGTGGATGACCTTAGGAAAAGTTCACAGCGTGTGCTAAGATGGCTTCTAGACTCGTATGAATTCTGAGACCTCCCAAAGATGGAGCCTCAGGGAACAACTGTGGACCACATGAAGAGTTCACGGCACTGGGTGGGGTAGAGATGCCAGCCCGAGTCCATGGTTCAGGGTGTGTGCCCATGCATGCTACTCCTATGATTCCCTCTCTGATACGGACTCTGTGTCCTGTCCTTCCCCCCCTGTGAACCTGGGCTTCCCAGACTTTACCCCAAGCACACACACACACATACACACACACACACACACACACACACACACACACACACACACAGGCAACACACGCAACACACGCTCCTGTCGCCCAGTGCTGAGTGTGTCCCTTGGGTGGCTGACAACCCCTTGGGGGTGGATAGGATCAAGGTGCCACCCGCAAGCCCCACTGACCCCATGGATGACGTAGCCGAGGTCGCTGTACATGAGCAGGGACGTGATTCTGGGGTTGTTGGCGTAGTGGAAGCTCTTGGGAAAGTCTTCCTTCTTGTACACATGCAGCCTGGGGTGGGCATCCTTGAGGACACCGTATACCTTCTCCAGCATCCCTTCCTTGGGGATCAGCATCCCATTGGGCCCGTAGTCTAAGAGTTCGAACTCGATGTCCTGGAAGGTGAAGTTGGGGAATTTGTGGAACTCCACCAGGTCGCTGGCTTCCTTGTGGACGGTTGTCATGCCGTGGTCTGACGTGATGATCAGGTTGAGGCTCTCTGAGAGGCTGTGGTTCTTGATGCTGTCCCGGAGGTAACCCACAGTCCTGTCTACCTGGTGCACCATGTCCTTCCTCTCCTGGGACTCAGGGCCGTATCTGTGGCCAGTGGAGTCTGGCTCCCCGAAGTAGAGGGTGACCAGGTCCGCGTCGTCCTCCGTGAACCACCTCATCACAGTGTCCACATTTTCCCTCCACTCCTTCTCGTCTTTGTAATTGTGAAAGATGCCTTCCTTACGGCTCATCGTCACGGCCTCCCCTTGGTAGGTGACGTTCCCGCCGGGATAGAAGAAGGAGCCCGTTTTTAAGCCCTGTGGGATGAGGAAGGGTTAGTTAGCCCCATGACTCCTTGTCTTGTCTTTCCCCCTTACAAGCCATCCAGAGGCCCAGCACCCAATGTCTTCACGCACTAACCGAGACCGTAGATGCGAGATGTCCCCGCACGCCGTGCCCTTCGGCGTCCTGGCCTTGAGGCTTAGCTGTCCCCTGGACCCCCCTTCACTGTCTTCTCCTCTGTCCACCTCATCCCACCCAGCCGCTCATCCATCTTTCCGTAAATCCCTGCCGCCCATTCTGTCTGTCCTTCCAACCCCCCCATTTGCACGAGCCCATGGTTCCTCCCTCATTGTCTCCTCTGGATGGAGCATCAGGGGAGGCTGAGCTCTCACTTGGTTATTTTGGCCCTGGAGCTGAGGACCAGGTGCCACACGACAGGAGGGCAGCCCCTCGGGTGGAAGTGGCAGTGTGGGGCGTTGGTCTGAGGGTTGTCCTGCGCCCACCTGGAAATCCTCCCTTTGATGTCTTACTATCTACCCTGCCCATTTAACCTTCAGCCCTTTGGCCCCTAGGTGCCCAGTAGTGGGACTGGAAGCAGATAAAGGCTTTTTTTTGTTTTTGCTCAGCATTTCCTTATTGAGTCAGTTTGCTACCCAGTGCGAACGTGACCCTCCTCTCCAGTGCCAAAGGGCCTGAGGGTGTGGACTGCTTCATGCACGCCAGGCAACACCTCTGCCAACCAAGTTACACCCTAAGTCACCGTCCCTGGCATGCTTCCTACGTGGTCCTCAGGAGCTCGCCGAAGTTTCTTTCTTTTTTAAAAAAATAATTTATTTAGCTTTATTTTATGTGCATTGGTGTCAAATTCCCAGGAACTGGAGTTACAGACAGTTGTGAGCTGCTGTGTGGATGCTGGGAATTGAACCTGGGTCCTCTGGAAGAATAGCCTAGTGCTCTCAACCACCCAGGCATTTCTCCAGCCCCTCCGAGCAGCTTTCTATGCCAGGAGGCAGGATGCCTGTGCCTGTTGTGGACCCCTCCCCTTGGTCATGGCCTCAGTTTCCCCCTGGGTCTTACCTGCCTCTGGGCTGTGATCCAGATGGGTATGCTGCCATTGTCCCACCAGCTCTGGATACCAAGCGTGGTGTGGTAGGGCCACCGCACCTTGGTGGTGGTGTTGTAGAACATGTTGTGGACCACCCCATGGTTCTCGATGTATTTGCCTGAGATGGGGCAGAGGAGCAGGGCATGTGTGGAGCAAGCCCGGGGTAGAGGCTTGTGAGGCCACAGTCACCTGAAAGCCCCATGGCACCCCTTGACCAGGTGCCGCCAAAGAAGACTTCTAAAAGGTGCCTCCCACCTAACGCCTCGGGCGCCTTCCATCCCCCAAGCCCCATCCTGAGGCTGACACTCACCAGTGACTAGTGTAAAATGGCAGGGGCTGGTCATGGTGACAAAGGCAGGAGTCATGTATCTCGCCTTCACCCCTTCTTGGGCCATGGTGTCCAGGTTAGGGGTGTCCACATCTTGGTCATAGTTCCAGCGGAAGCCATCGAAGGACACGAGGAGCAGCTTGTGCCGCCTTTGGAGAGGAGCCCCAGTCCCACAAGCGGGGAGGATGGCCAGGGCCACAGCGAGGAGGACAGCCGAGTGTCCCATGACGGGCTCTCAGATGAATCGGTGCACAGACAGCTCAGACCAGGAGCGGACCAAAGTCCCAGGATCAGTCCGGCTCTTTATCTTATGCTTCTCCAAAGATGGGCGGTCACCAGCCTAGACTTTGCACGTGAGGTTGTGTGGGCCTGGCATGGCCTCTGTCTCTAACGGAGTTCCCTGGTTCCTCTCTCCCTCTTCCTTCATCCTCCAGTGTCCTCATGGAGGAGGGGGGCGTGTCTCAGAGCCTGGAAGGTTGACTCTCCTTGGGAACTGCTCCCCATCCCAGTCTTCACAGCAAATCCCCAACTCCCCTGATCTCAGAGGAGCACCCAGACAGGGGCAAGGGGTTGGGGCCCTGCCTTAGTTAGGGTTTTATTGATGTGAAGAGACACCATGATCATGGCAATTCTTATAAAGGAGAGCATTTAATTGGGGCTGGCTTACAGTGCAGAGGTTTAGTATGTTATGGCGGCACACAAGCAGAGACGGTGCTGGAGAGGGCCGAGAGTTTTATACCTGGATCAGGAGGCACCAGGAAGAGAATGAGCCATTGGGCCTGGCTTGGGCTTCTGAAACCTCGAAGCCCACGTATTTTTTTTTTTTGGTTTTTCGAGACAGGGTTTCTCTGTGGCTTTGGAGGCTCTCCTGGAACTCGCTTGGTAGTCCAGGCTGGTCTCGAACTCACAGAGATCCGCCTGCCTCTGCCTCCCGAGTGCTGGGATTAAAGGCGTGCGCCACCAACGCCCGGCTCAAAAAAATCTCATCTCAAAGGGGACAAGAGGTAGTTCATTCTGGAGCCAAATATGAGTGGCCGTGACCTGGGAACACGGGTTTATGCTTCCATCTTCCAGTGTGGGAAGCAGTTTCATGATGTCTTCACAGTAACAAAGAAAGTCAAGATGCGTTTAGAATACATTTGTGGGTGCATGGGAGAGGGAGCCACAGAGACCTCAGCCTTGGGCCTCAGACGCTACCTGACAATGTGACAAGGGATATCAAGCCACACCAAGAATACAGGGAAGGGAAGTCGTATGATACTTAATTAGAGAGAGGAGTCACTTACATGAGTAGCCGGGAACTGAGGTCAGCTCTCTGCTGGTCTCCGACCTGGACCAGATCCCCAAGAGAGAGCGATCCCTTCTCTCCTTTCTTTCTGCCTTCCATCACATACCTGTGGCCACGCCCAAAGGGGCGTGGTCAGCGTTGCCAATACATGAGATCTCTCCCTGCAATGATGAGCTGAGCTTTTGGTCTGCTAAGTTAACACACTCCAAAAGGTTTTTCCCTGTTATTCCCAGAATGTTAGGGCTGCCACAGGGGTGGGCTAAAGGGAGCCCAAGACAAATTGTAATCAGGCTCCAAACCCCAGCACTACAACCTCACCGCGTCACTGGTTCTAACCACTCAGACTGTAGATGCTGTTTCTCCCCAAGAATTCTCATTCAGAAGAGATACATAGGCGCCCACGTATAAACATGTGCCTTGGCACAAATGCATGCTTACACATGTCTTACATATATGTGGACGGGCATATATATTTGATATGTGGGCACGTGTCTTTACTCGTGCATGTCCCATGTGTGTATACATACGTGTCTGGTGTGTGTGTGTGTGTGTGTGTTGAGCACTCCTTCACTCTCTGGCATGTCCAGGCCCAGGTACCTCATGCTCACCCACACGTCTCCAGCCTCTAAGACGCAGGAATGTTTAGAGATCAGAGCTGGGTCTGGGCTACCCTTTGCCTCCAGCAATGGTACCTTCTGCTCCTGTGACCAAGCTTCCAGCTTAGTCAGCGGGTGCCAGCCTGGGGAAGCAGGGCCTTCTGCTACTCCGGGTGTGGCATTTGTGGCAGCACGCTGTCCTGGGTGCAGGGGACATCAGCAGAGCACACACAGGAGCTTGGGTACACTCTGCTTTTCTCCTTGAGGACGCCCTTGGTGCTCTGAGACCTGGGAACCCTTGGTCTGGGGACTGGGTAGAATTGATACCAGCAAGGGTGACGATTGTCCTGGGCAGCCAAACCACACACGGGCACAGACCTGGAGAGCCACCTCAGCTGACGGCTAAGGGACCGTTAGGTGCTCTCCTTCACAGGTCCAACTCTTCAGGCAGCGCCCTGTTCTCTGAAACAGACTGTGTGAACGAGTGACTGTGTCCCCCATGAGGCTGAGTGGCACAGTTCCCAGCTCCTGGTCCAAGGCCTGGCATGGGCAGGCATTTAGTAGAGGATGCTCGACAGGTTCTGCACACCATCAAGGTGGGCCTGTCTGGACTGTTTTGCTCTCTCCTCTGGTGCAGTTGGGTTGGTGCTGCCAGGGATGCTGGTGCCCTAGAGACAGGGAGTGAGCCTGACCCTTCTGTTGCAGGCTGACTGGATCAGGGCAGGCTCCTCAGACTCCCCAGTCTGATAGCCTCTGGGGGTGCCATGGCTGGCAGACAGTTTGCTTCAGGGCATGGAGGTGGTAAAGCAGACAGTGTAACTTAGCTGGAGTAGACATTCCCCATGGGGAGGAGACAAGATCATGAAGACCTGGACTTTGAGACAAGTCCCCAAGACAAATCCCATGTTTTCCCAGATAGGGTCTAGGACATGCTGTCACTCTGAATGTCCTTGGGGGAATTCAGTGACTGTTCCTCATGATGCTTCTCAGACAGGAATCTGGGGACAGCAGAGGCTAGCAGGGGCATCAGGTTCCCAGTTCATCACTATGCTCTTGGGGCCATCCAGGCCTCAGAAAGGCTGTGATCCTATGACTTGGGTATTGGTGGAGAGCATGATGGTCCTGGGTGGTGGTTCCTCCAAGTGGTCCCACTCCAAGCCAGGGACGCTGTGGATCTAAGAAAGCCAAGTTCCTTCTCTTGGCCCCTGTACCAGCCCGGCTGCAGGCGCCAGCTCCTGCTGCATCTGGCTCTTGTGGGCAGAGCCCCGGAGGTGGCTTGCTGATTGCCAGGCACCCTCTGACCTTTGTGCTGTGGGGTTTCATTAGCGGCCTCTCCACTTTATCAGCTGCTCACCTTTTATTGCTTCTGAGGGGCTGTATCTCAGCCTCGGCTGGCCTCTCCTCCCGGGTAAATGAGGATTAGTATCTTAACAGGATTATGTGCTGTGGGCTCAGTCTATCCAGGGACACAGGGTGCCCCCTCCTTCCTCTCTGTCCTCACCCACCCCAGGCATCCTGGCTGGTTTGCAGGGAGCACAGCCAGTTAGGACACACATGATTGGCGGGATGTGAATGGGCGCCTCATTGTTTCAGACTCTGGGATGTGTGTGTGTGTGTGTGTGTGTGTGTGTGAGAGAGTGAGGGGTGGGGTTGTGTGGGAGGGATGGGTGTGTGGCAGGGGTAGGGTTGTAGAAGGGATAGGGGTGTATGGGAGGGTGTGTATATGGGGAGGAGTGGGGGTGTGTAGGAGGGCTGAGGGTGTGTGGGAGGGTGTGTGTGGGAGGGGTGTGTGTATGTGTGGCAGGGATGGGATGTGTAGCAGGGGTGAGGGTGTGTAGCAGGGGTAGGGGTGTGTGGGAGGAGTGGGGTATGTAGGAGGGGTGTGTGTATGTGTGGCAGGGATGGGATGTGTAGCAGGGGTGAGGGTGTGTAGCAGGGGTAGGGGTGTGTGGGAGGAGTGGGGTATGTAGGAGGGGTGTGTGTATGTGTGGCAGGGATGGGATGTGTAGCAGGGGTAGGGGTGTGTGGGAGGAGTGGGGTATGTAGCAGGGTTAGGGGTGTGTGTGTGAGGGATGGGGTGTGTGCAGCGGTAGGGGTGTGTGGGAGGGTGTGTGTGGGGAGGGGTGTGTGCATGTGTGGCAGGGATGGGGTGTGTGCAGGGGTAGGGGTGTGTGGGAGGGGTGGGGTATGTAGCAGGGTTAGGGGTGTGTGTGAGGGATGGGGTGTGTGCATGTGTGGCAGGGATGGGGTGTGTGCAGCGGTAGGGGTGTGTGGGAGGAGTGGGGTGTGTGGGAGGGGTGGGGTGTGTGGGAGGAGTGGGGTGTGTGGGAGGGGTGGGGTCTGTGCAGGGGTGAGGGTGTGTGGGAGGGGTGGAGTATGAGAGCGTGGGGCTGGACTCTGAGTGCAGGGTGAGGCTTCGTCGGGGCTGGGTCTTGAGCCTGACCCTGGGCGTGGGGAGCATGCCCACTTCTGTCCTTAGGACCCCAGTGCTGTGCCCCTCTCTGCCTCCATCTTCAACGGCGTTTTTCTAAGACAGCGCCTCACGTAACCAGCACTGGCCTTGAACTTCCTGTGTGTGAGCACCTAACCTTCCTGCCTCTACCTCCCCAGTGCTGAGATTACAGGAACGTGCCACCAAGCCCAGTTTCACACGGTGGCTTTTCTGTGGCTGTCCTAAGTGACTTGCAGGACGGCTGTTACTAGGGTTAGGGAACATTGTGTTGTAGAGTATTATCTTAATTACTTAAAGGGGTGTTACGTTTGTTTATGTGTGGAACATTACTTTAACGGAGTGAAGGTGCGTTACATTTGCCTTTGTGAAGAATGTAACACAAATACTTGTTTGTGTTGTGTTTGTTTCCTCTTGCCTGCCTAAGGCACCTGATTGCTTTAATAAAAAGCTGAACGGGCAATAGCTATGCAGAAGAGAGATAGGCAGGGCTGGCGGGCGGAGGAAATAAGTAGGAGGGGAAATCTAGGCTGGGGAGGGAGAATGAAGGGAAGGGAGACACCTGAGACCAGAAGCCGGGCAGCCACCAGCTAGTCATGGAGACAGCAGGAAAGCAAGATAGGAGGGAAGGGAGGGAGGGAGGGAAGGGAAGAAGAAAGGAAGGAAGGAAGGAAGGGAGGGAGGAAGGAGGGAAGGGAAGAAGGAAGGATGGGAGGAAGGATGGAAGGAAGGGAGGGAGGAAGGAGGGAAGGGAAGAAGGAAGGAAGGAAGGATGGGAGGAAGGAAGGGAGGAAGGAAGGGAGTAAGGGAGGGAGGAGGGAAGGAGGGAAGCAAAGAAGAAAGGAGGCAAAAGGTAGATGAAGAGAAACAGGTTAAGTTATAAGAGCCAGCAAGAAATGAGCCTAAGCTAAGGCTGAGCATTCATAACTAA